TAAGTTCTTTCGGTCTTTTTTATGATCCCCGACTTTCGGTATTAGCTCTTAGCTCTTGCTGTCCTTTTTATGATCCTTGACTTTCCGTATTAGCTCTAAGTTCTTTCGGTCCTTTTTATGATCCCCGACTTTCCGTATTAGCTCCAAGTTCTTTCGGTCCTTTTTATGATCCCCGACTTTCCGTATTAGCTCTAAGTTCTTTCGGTCCTTTTTATGATTCCTGACTTTCCGTATTAGCTCTAAGTTCTTTCGGTCTTTTTTATGATCCCCGACATTCCGTATTAGCTCTAAGTTCTTGCGGTCCTTTTTATGATCCCCGACTTTCCGTATTAGCTCTAAGCTCTTTTGGTCTTTTTTATGATCCCCAACTTTCCGTATTAGCTCTAAGTTCTTTCGGTCTTTTTTATGATCCCCGACTTTCCGTATTAGCTCTAAGTTCTTTCGGTCCTTTTTATGATCCGCGACTTTCCGTATTAGCTCTAAGGGGTTTGTGGGCCTTTTTATGATCCCCGACTTTCCGTATTAGCTCTAAATTCTTTCGGTCTTTTTTATGATCCCCGACTTTCCGTATTAGCTCTAAGTTCTTTAGGTCCTTTTTATGATCCCCGACTTTCCGTATTAGGTCTAAGTTCTTTCGGTCTTTTTTATGATCCCCGACTTTCCGTATTAGCTCTAAGTTCTTTCGGTCATTTTTATGATCCCCGACTTTCCGTATTAGCTCTAAGTTCTTTCGGTCCTTTTTATGATCCCCGACTTTCCGTATTAGCTCTAAGTTTTTTCGGTCCTTTTTATGATCTCCGACTTTCAGTATTAGCTCTAAGTTTTAACTTTTTGTGTATTTTTTTGTATTCTTGTGTATTTTTGGTTTTTTTTTTATTATGTATTTTGTGTTTTTGTTTATTTTTGTATTAGCTCTAATTTTGTGTATTTTTGTGTATTAGGTATTTTTTGGATTTTTAAGAATAACAAAAAAAAAAACGAGAAAGAATGAGAATTACCTCGTTGAAGCGGAGACAAGCTTCCCAAGGATTAGAATCGAAATAAAATATCCCTAAAGAAGGTAGGGGGCTAGAAGCAGATCAGTAGGAGTAAGGGCAAAATGTATCCAAAAACGGATAAAAAAGAAAATACCATTGATCCCGACCTTTGTCTTTCCGCTGCTCCTTGACCCTACACAAGTAAATCAAAACGAAGTTAGCTGTAAGAATGCAGCACCATACACAACATGTAAGAATATCAATAAATTTTCTATTTACTTTGAACATCAGGAGGTGATGCCGTAGCAGTGGCCTTAATAGGTTTCTGCTCACAAATGGATGTGCAGCTGAGAAAGGAACCAAGAGCATGGATTGTTTACTCGAGTATATATAAATAATCCATAGTCTTGGTTCTTTTTATGGCACCATTATCTATCAGTTTATTGAAATTCAAAACTTCATTATTTTTTTCTGGTCGTTTGCTAACTAATGCCAAGAAATTTCAAGATACAATCAGTTCAGAGTACAATGAACAGCTAGACATATAAGCATAAAATAGTCTTTGTTCATAAGATTTTATAAGATATGATACAAGAACATAATGGTAAAGAATTTGAGACTAGACAATACAAACATATGAATATGCTAAAGGATAAAACGAAAACGTACCTCTTCTATCCTAGACTTCGTTCCACCTCTAATTGACACAGAATAATTTTATTCTTCTTTGCAATGCATGTCTCAGTTGACTGCATCAGTTGCCTTTCCAAAGATATTATATCTGCTTCTTCAATCTCCCTATATGAGAGAGGAAAAAAACGTGCTGTTAGATAGCGATGTCTTTAACACAAGTCTGCCAATCCATTGGATCAGTGTAGACCCACATACATCACAGAGATGACAAGCCTCTGGAAAAAGCTCATAATACTATCCCAACTAAACATCCATCACTATTTATTTCATTCAAGATCACATGTGAAATATAAGTTTCCATGTTGTGAAGTTTCTTTCCACATTTTTTTCTTATGAACATGCAGGTGGCAGTATATACACGGCATGCATGTGACAGTATATACACGGAGTTCTCATTATGTATGATTTATCATGTAACTCATTCAGTTGTACGCTATATGAAAAAACACTCTTATTGGTTGCCAAATATATCTACTATAAAAAAAGAATGATATGCATAGCAGCTTGAGAAATAGATTTGAATATTAGTACCTAATGAAGAGGGATATATAGCTGTAGGGTAAATTTACAGCTCCAAATCCAGATAAGACAGCCATTAAGGTCACACCAATGACCCCAATTCTACTGACGAGCTGAGGCATTGTAAAAAAACCTTCAAAATAAATAGGATCTTTAAGTCCATAAGTTTAATAGACAACAAAAATAACACAGAAATGAGAATGTTGGGATGCAAAAGCTAATGCCAATCAGAAGTAGACAAGCAAAGAATAAAGAATAGTTCATTTCGAGCATTTTTTCTGAAATTATTTAAGGTCAGGTGACGCTGTAGTCTTATGATAACAACACTTCATCTCAATGCTTCATTCCTACAAGACAGCAATGTATGGAAGCTAAAAAGGAAAGAAGAACCAAAGTTATCTTATATTTGACAACACAGGAAACGGATTCAAACAATTGAGATTCAATGGTTTTTATAACATAGCATAAACTGAACAAGACACACTCAGATTCATTGATCACCATAACACAAACGATTCAAGTTTCAAAAGAACATAGCACATCATTGATTCATTACACATAAACATCAACATAACACATACAAACTGATTCATTACACATAGAAACTGATTTATTACACATAAACATCAACATTACACATACAAACTGATTCATTACACATAAACATAACAAAATCAATACATTCAAAACAGATCAAGATCAATACAATGAAACGAAACAACACATAAACAGAAACTTAACAACACACAAACAGAAATTTAATAACACACAAAAAGAAACTATATAAGGCTACATCATCTACAAACGAAACAATCAAAGAAACCTAATTTATCTCAGAACCAAATTCATCACAATGGAGTAAATCTAAATCAGCTTCATCACGATCTGTATTTCTAACAAGCATAGCGTCACAGAACCCTAAATTGACTGTTTATTGTATCAAAGAACCCTCCGATCAAACCCAATTATGATAACCATAATATCGAACACAATCTAATCCCGAAACAAATAAACATAATATCTCTAACACATCAAATCCCCTAATTCATCACAATGTAATAATGTAAACTCTTTGAATCGTACCATTACAGAGTGATTGGAGCATCAGAGAACAAAAACCCTCGATTTCTTTCACCACAACAGATGTCGATTTCTGTGGCCAAAGAACCCTAACTCCGGTGGAAACAGCTCGCAACGACAGCCGGAGATGATGATTACGACGGCTAAGAGACGAGTTTGGTGGCTACTCTCCTCTGAAATCAACCCTTCGACATGAATCCTTCTTAATGGCCATCGATTTTGAGAGAGAAAGGAGAGAAAGAGAGAAAGAAAAGAAAAACAATTTACGCGTCTAACTTTTTTTTTTTTTGGTTTTGTTTTTATGTGCACCCAATATTATTGTGACACGTACACAGTTCTAAACTTGTATTTACAGGTTATCAATTTGACTATGTATTTGATTGGACAATCTTGAAGTATCCACAGTTCAGTTCCGGCTCCAGCTCGAGCTCCAAGCCAAGAGTAAGTAACATCTGTTTTTTCGAAATTTTCCATCATCGTGAAGAAGAGTTCTTAAGAGCATATTATCAAATTCTCACGTATGTCTCTGTATTCCAACAGTCAAGCCTGAGACCAGCTCTGAATCCTCCAGTACCAACCGCCGAAAGACCAGATAAACCTTCAGGTAAGCCTTCAATTGTATAACCCATATCTTTAGTTAACACTTGCCTCATTTTGTGTGTCTCTTCTCGTGGCTGCTTCTGCTTCTTCGCTCCATCAAACAGTTTCCCTTTTTGGTTGTAATGCCAATCAGGTGCTTTGTGACCAATTCGCCATTAGTTTCTGTCTTTTCTTTTTCTTCATCGTTTATTCATCGGTTGATTTCCTGTTAACTGACTTTGTCAGAAATGCATCACGTTCCCTTCTCATAGTTTGGTGTTTGAACAAAACAGGACATAGTAAACCAAAATTTGTGTCTCTGTATACAGCTGGAGCTGGGCAAGACAGTCGCGATAGATTTTCGGGTGCCTTAGAGGCATATGCTAGAAGAAATGGCTCAGGAAGTGGCGCTGTTCAAGCTGATCGATCTAGACCAAGAACCTCAGAGAATGTATTAGCGTCATCGAAGGATTCAACACCGGTGAGTCATCTACAAACATAGAATCTTCTTTTATATTAGCTCTGGAAGTCCTTTCTTTTAAACTTTTTATTGACTAAAACCAGCAAAACTATGAGAGAGTCGAAAGACCAATCTCTTCAACAAGACACGCAAGTTCTTCAAGAAAAGCCGTTGTCTCGAGTGTTAGAGCCACTTCTTCAGCTGATTTCACAGAGAACCGCTCTAGCAGAGTTATCCCAAACAATGGCCGTTCCTCAACCGCTCAGAGGACTCAGCTTGTTCCTGATCCGACCTCTAGACCATCTTCGTCTTCTTTTGCCCGAGCTGCGCCGTCAAGGACTGCTCGTGATATCACGCTCCAGAGCTTTGAGCTACTCACCATAGGGAATGGGAAGAGGAAGTGAGGCTTTTTTACACGGTAACACGGTGGTGAATGAGAGTGGAAGAAACTACGACATTTTTATGGATACTTTGTTCTTATTTTCACGAAATTATCGGTTTCCTAATTTAAGGAATAAATCGAACATCATTTGATTACAAATTATATGTGATAAAGTATATGGTTTTAACTCGTTAAGCTATGCACTAAATTCCATGTGTTTATCTTACAATCAAAAGAAGAAAACTAAATCAAAATTAAATGTCACTAGTCCAAGTAAATAAAATTTAACTATGATTATTTCTTTTTCAGATAAATTTTAAGAATGTGATTTATAATTTATTTAGCACATTCAACAAAAATTACCAATTAAATAAGAAATAAATATAATTTAATAACAAAAATGAAAAGATTATATAAATTAGCGTACAATTTTACATAAGATAAAGTTGAAGCTTTTATTAGGATTTGTTTGATAGTTGATTTTTTTGCTAACATTTTTCTCAAAATATCAAAAAATAATATTTTTTGCCGTTTTCCAAAGAGTATCATTTTTAAGGTTTTCATCTTATTTCCAATACTGTTCTTAAGACTTAATCTCTTTTTTTTTTTTTTAATCTCTACTCTTTCAGTTTACTAGTTAGAGAGAGGGTGTTATTATGTAGTGTATTATTAAAGAGTAATTTTTTTTATATATTTCTCTTAATTTGTGTGAAAACTACTAAGAATGAGACTCTTTGTGAAGCGGATGAAGTATCTTATAAATTTTTAGTAATATCAACTTGAAGGAGTGGCAACTAAGTCGTTCGAGGAAAGTTCGTTTTAGTGAGCATAAAGCTGCTCTTACAAATACCTTGAGAAGTGCAATCCCATTTTTCCACTTTCTTATTCATCCACTGTCATAAGTATGCATTCAAAACAAACTTTGGATAATAAAAGATCATGTGGGCATGGCTAACCTCTTATGTCACCTCAAACATTTGGATGTCAAAGTCTTCTAGTAAATAACATAATTGAGTGTTATGCCTCATTAAGGCGATGGCCATACAAGCGTATGCAACCGGTAGGTTCTTGGCCTTTTACAATTTAGTGATTTTCATTACGTTAGTCAAATTATGCATTAACTCTTTTACATAACTTCTTCAAGAAATTGATATGGTTTAGGGATCTCTTTTCATTATGCATCTAAAATATGTTTGATGGGCTTATTTTTCCGATCTTTTTTTTTATATGCATTTCTTAGTATGATTGGGCTTATTTTACAGATCTTTGATTCACAAATGGATTATTATTGAGTGTATCTCAACACTTTTTCTAGATAAACCATTTTTTTTTAGGATGAGACTTTTTCCCAGATTTTCCTATATCATTTCAAGTTATTATTGGATTACAAATTAAATTAATTTTACCAATGAAAAATAGAAACACAATATATTAAAATAAAATAAAAACTGAAAAGAGAAATATTACATAAATGAATAAACATTATTCAAAGGTAAAATAAAAATTATTCAAAGATAACATTTGCAGAAAATCCTTGTCTTAAAACCCGATTTTTCAATTAATTGTTTTTTATTCATTTATCGGGGTAAAAGAGAGAATACTCTTAATTTTTAAAGCTTTAGTTCAAGATCTAGAACATCCTCATCGTCATCTTCTATGACGATAGTCTCCGGCCACTCTCGCTCCAACTGCTCGATGAGCGGTAAAGTGCACACTACATCCTCTGCTGAAATATCTTCCTCCACAATATAAAGTTGCAGATCCAGTTGATGATGTGGTTGGGGATGAGGCTGAGGTGAAAAATGAAACGACCGCCAATTCAATTGTGGTTGCACCATGTTACGAACAATAAAATTGATATTATTGTTCTGATTCATGGGCACAAATTGTTGATTTGGTCTCACATTTGCGGAAGTCGCAGAGAATGTGTTTCGGAACCTCAATGGTTGATTAATGTAAGAGTAACTACTGTAATTATTTTGAGGTGGATTTTGGCGAAAACTTGGGTTTAAATTGGTATTGGTGTGAAACAATTCACGGTGTGAGAAAAGTTCTCGATGGGTGAGAAAGATTTCTCCACACGTGAAACACAGAGGTTCGTGATCTGGATTAACAAACTTCATTGTATGGTGGATATTATGAACAAAGGAGAATTAAAAGATATTGTGAATTAATCAAAGAACGTGACCTCATATACATATATAGGGGGAATGCATATGTCTATAGGACATATTAGGAATTGCATAAATATTTTAAATACCAAATTAGGGAAAAAATTATAAAAAAATACACATTAACTTTTATGATAAGAACAAAAATTTATTTCCAATTTTGATAATTATTTTGAATTTTTTTGCTTACATGTGTTGATTAAATTTTGTAGTTTTCTATATTGCTGTATATATTTATAAATCTATGTTAAGCCAATTAAGACTAAATATATTAGATTTTATAGTGCCATTTTAATTACAATAATTGCGCTACGACTGTGAGAAGTCAAAACAAAAATGATTATTTGAAAGAGATTAAAAAGTTTCTTATTAGTGTATTTGGAAGTAAATGATAGGATTACATGGTATGTTGACTTCTTTTTATATTGACCAAGAAAATGATAAAAAGAAAAAGAATTTAGTCAGCCTCATAAGAGAGTAATGTTATCCGCAAAGGAAAGGTTTTCCAATTAGTTTATACTATAAAAATATGGGGATTCTCAATTTGTTTCTAAAACCATTATGAGGGTAAAGAAAACCCGACCAGTAAACCATTTTCTATTATGCAGGTCGCAGGATATAACAACTAGCCAGTGGCGGAGCTAGGATTTGTATTTATCGGGGTCAAATTGCACAAATAATAATTATAGGGGTTAATTTCTTCAATGTACTAGAATAATTTTCAAATTATAGCTAAAAATTAACTAAATTTCAAAGTTTCATGGGTGTCATTTGACCCCCATGATCTTTGGCTGCCTCCGCCCTGCAACTAGCTGATGTTAAACTTTGATGGAAACAATTATAGAGATTGACTATTATCCTCTTGACTAAGAGTATTCTCCCAATGAATTTTAGTTTTTAATTTGGTTGCAATTTGCAAATTTTGTTGTAATTTCACAACGTTGATGTGAAATCCATTACGTAGTATATAATTGGAACTAATCTAGACCTAGGCATATATCCAAAAACTTTGATATTTGGATTTTTTTTTTTTTTGGTATTTATGTACCCGAAAATAATTGGATTTTTAGCGGGTATGAAAATCTATACCAGATCCAATTTGAACTCGAAAGGACCCTAATCGAATCCAAATTTTTTTTTTTACATTTATCCTATTGGATCCTATAATCCTCTACCTAAGAAATCCGAACCCGAACGGTTCATACCCGAACCCGACCTGAGTACCTGAATGCCCATAAGTAAACAAATCCATGTCCAAAATTCTGAAGGATGACATTGTTAAGAAAAATATTTCCACCTACTCTTTTCATGTAATATAACACCCAGCTGGTACACATACCATTCGATGCAGAACTTGGTGATCCTTTACACCATAATTGGATATATCCTCTCAATTTTCTTTAAAATTAAATTGAAAAGTAAGATGAAGAACCAAAGATACCCATCATGATTAATAATTTATTCACTTCTCGAAACACTTTACTACAACTAACTGAAGAAGATAAATTAGAATTAGCAATTACATTTTTCACTTTCAACTTTAAGAGTTAAGATTATAATTTTTTTCAAATCCTTAAAATATTTTCATACATATGCAGTTGTCTTATATTTGTCTTCTTCCACGAACAGTGTTTTTAGGATGATATTTTTTTCAAGCATTCAAAAGAAACCAATACCAATGGCACCATGGTAGAAAATTGTTGGACTTTATCAATAAGAAAACAAAAGTCATATGCCTGAAGGTAGAATTGACCAAATAAATTAGATAGCTCAGTAAAAATAAAGTTTGAACCTTAACCTAGGAATTACTTTAAACATATAGATGTTATTGTTCTCAGTATAATCTTTGGAAGCTTGAATTTACAAAGGTTTTTACCAGAAGTTCACGGCATTATTTCTGATATTTTCCTTTGTATTTCTCGCTTTTCTTCTTTTGTTTGTCGCTTTATCCCTCGGTCTACAAACGGTGTAGCCGACTCTCTTGCAAAACATTGCCTTAGCTTGTATGGTTCGAACTTCTAGTTTTTATATATAAATGCTGGGGGTGCACAAAAAAAAAAAACCTTAACCTAGGAATTACTTTAAACATATTGATGGTATTGTTCTCAAATATAATCTTTGGAAGCTTGAATTTACAAAAGTTTGATATATCCCCTACTTAGTAGCATAGAAATAAATATTATTTCCTCATTCCCCCAACTACATATCCGCTTGCACAGTTTGAAATATTGAAGAATTAAGCATGTGATAGAACAACACTAGCACTAACTATCAATAGCTTACTAATTTATGAAGATAGTACATGGAGTTAAATAAGCGAAAAGCAAGCAACCGTAAAAAAATTTTACTCACGCTTACGGGTGGGTGTTCATATATCTGTTTGGGTAAGGTATTTTGAGCTCTCGGGTTCAGAGGTATATGATCTATTATGTTATGACTAAATTTCAGCTTCGTATTGGGTAAAACATTTGTATTAAAATAAAAAAAAATTGTATTAAAATCGGTCCAAACTGTTCGAAATACCTAAAACCTATATATATAATAGGACAGTTCTCTCTCCATCTAGCCTATCGACATCATCATCCACCTCATTAAGATTTTTTTAAAAACAAAGTATATTTAAAATGTTTATTAAATGCATATTTATGTACTCATAATTGATAGAAAAATTAATTAAATAGAAAAGAATTAAAATAAGAAAAAAAGAATTAAACTAAATAAACAAAATTTAAAAATCCTAAAATAAATATTGTTAAAATGTTATTAGTAATCATCACATTTCCAATGATTTAATGTGGTAATGAGATTTATAATGGAAGAAAACTATTATATGCATGGTAGAGTAAAAAAATATATATGACTATATATATAAAACTTATAAACAAGAATATATATATATATATATATATATATATATCTATATCTATATATATAAAGTTAACTTTTTCTCTTTTCTCCTTAAGCCACATCATCATCCACCTCATTTTATTATTTAATTTTTAAAATTAATTATACAATTTTATC